AAAAAAAAAAAGCCAGGCATGGTGGTGTGCACCTGTAATCCCCAGTTAGGAGTCTGAGGCAGGAGAATTGCTTGAACTGGGGGGGCAGAGATTGCAGTGAGCTGAAATCATGCCATTGCACTCCAGCCTGGGTGACAGAGGGAGACTACGTCTCAAAAAAAAAAAAAAGAAAACTGGGCAAGGTGGCTCACCAGCACAATCTTGGCTTACTGCAACCTCTACCTCCTGGGTTCAAGCAGTTCTCCTGTCTCAGCCTGCTGAGTAACTGGGATTACAGGCATGCCCAGCTAATTTTTGTATATTTTTAGTAGAGATAGGGTTTCACCGTGTTGGCCAGGCTGGTCTCAAACTCCTGACCTCAGGTGATCCACCCACCTCGGCCTCCCAAAGTGCTGGGATTACAGGCGTAAGCCACCACGCCCAGCTGAGAGTCACTTTTTTTTTCTTTGAGATGGAGTCTCCCTCTGTCGCCCAGGCTGGAATGCAGTGGCGTGATCTCAGCTCACTGCAAGCTCCACCTCCCGGGTTCATGCCATTCTGCTGCCTCAGTCTACCCAGCAGCTGGGACTACAGGCTCACGCTGCCACGCCTGGCTAATTTTTTTGTATTTTTAGTAGAGACAGGATTTCACCGCGTTAACCAGGATGGTCTCGATCTCCTGACCTTGTGATCCACCTGCCTTGGCCTCCCAAAGTGCTGGGATTATAGGCGTGAGCCGCTGCGCCCAGCCAATTTTTTGTATATTTAGTAGAGGTGGGGTTTCACCCTGTTAGCCAGGATGGTCTCAATCTCCTGACCTCGTGATCCACCCACCTCAGGCTCCCAAAGTGCTGGGATTACAGGTGTGAGCCACTGTGCCCGGCCAATTTTTTGTGTATTTAGTAGAGGTGGGGTTTCACCGTGTTAGCCAGGATGGTCTTGATCTCCTGACCTTCTGATCCGCCCGCCTCAGGCTCCCAAAATGCTAGGATTACAGGCATGAGCCACTGTGCCCAGCCAATTTTTTGTATATTTAGTAGAGGTGGGGTTTCACCCTGTTAGCCAAGATGGTCTCGATCTCCTGACCTCGTGATCCGCCCACCTCAGCCTCCCAAAGTGCTGGGATTACAGGTGTAAGACACCGCACCCGACCAAGAGTGACAGATATTCTTAAGTATGCCACAGCATTCCTCCAAAACATTATTTTTCTTCTTTTTCTTTTTCTTTTTTTTTTTTTTTTTTAAGACAGACTCTCCTTCTGTCACCCAGGCTGGAGGGCAATGCATAATCTCAGCTTACTGCAGCCTCCACCTCCCGGGTTCAAGCAATTCTCTTGCCTCAGCCTCCCGAGTAGCTGGGATTACAGGTATGCACCACCATGTCCAGCTAATTTTTGTGTTTTTAGTACAGACAGGATTTCACCGTGTTGGCCGGTCTGGTCTCAAACTCCTGACCTCAAGTGATCTGCCCACCTCAGCCTCCCAAAGTGCTGGAATTACAAGCATGAGCCAGTGTGCCTGGCCCAAAACATTCTTTTTCTTTTTTTGTTTTTTGAGATGGAGTTTTACTTTTGTTGCCCAGGCTGGAGTGCAATAGTGCAGTGGCTCACTGCAACCTCCGCCTCCCTAGTTCAAGTGATTCTCCTGTCTCAGCCTCCCAAGTAGCTGGAATTACAGGCACATGCCACACACTTCGCTAATTTTTGTAGTTTTAGTAGAGATGGGGTTTCATCA